TTTTTTCTCTGCCAAGTTATGGGCCTTATGAGCATTTTCATCAGTCGCGCGTTTATGGTAGCACAACGTGATGAAGAAGGTCACTATTACAATGACTAAGAGCGCAAATGGAGTGGGAGGGAGGGGCTGGAAGCCACTACACTCCGATGGGCTCCACTTATGCTGACTTTATGAATATTAATAAGCCCATCGATAAGGCTCGCCCTGATAATGGAATAATCGATAAGAGGTTTGATAACAAGAAGATTTGAAGTAAACTTTCTGATAATGACCGGCTAAATAGGCCTCGAATGCAGCGGAAAAACGATCCTGCGCCAAGGGGCGAATATCTTTGGCTAAGCTCTGAAGGGAGGGGGGGGGGACGGGGATGAAATAGCTACAGAGAGGGTGGACCACTAACCACGTGGACAGGTTCGGGTTCACCAGGTTGATATAAGGACACTTGAGCGGGCCCTATCAAGAGGTTATCTCATATGAGCGTGCTGCTGAGGTGAGCTCTTTTCCTTTGCGCTAGAGATATCTTTGGCACTAGAGATGCAGCGCGACTTGATGTACTCTCATGCCCCATTTTCACCGTGACGTCGTAGTTTTTAGGAATTGAAACTTGATCCTTTAACTGGAGAGACTCGCTTCGGTGCTTTTCCTGTATGTGCAAACTTATAGGCATGCCTCGAAAGAAAACATGGTATTGAAAACGTATCGAGCGATGTATCGTGCTCTCACCGGCTTTGAGCTGATACGTGGCCGAAAGCACTTGAACGGCTCTCTTGGTTGCTCATTGGAACTTCAGAGCTGCTGCCTGGTCGTAGTTTACATCGTGTAGTAAGGCGCATCAATGCAGTGTAAACGCGGAGCTAGAACTTTGATCTATTCCGCTGATATCATGGGCGAAAACATTCTATTCTCACCCAGAAACAAACTTTCTTTTACCGTATAACCAGTATTTACCGTCAAAGATAACCATTACTCCGCTGCTCTTTCATCGTTTACCTGGTGGGTGCGCGTAATTTCACCACATACTGCTAGAACAATAACTGTCTTCCGATCACTTCTTCACCATGATGACCGCCAACGATCACCCTTCATTCTTGTTTTTCGCAGATGTTCATTTAATCTCCTTAAAGGAATCTTGCGCGGAAAAATCATGATTCTATTTCAGCCATAAATCACTGGCTTGAGACTCATTATCCACGATAATAGTGAAAAGAACTGAAGTATTGCTTTCGTTTTGATTAGAAATTCGAAAACTCGAAAAGGCTGCTACGCGTTCGAATTGCCCACGGACGTCTTTCACGAATGCTGGCGACGGGGATGCTCAAACTTGGTTCTTGGAGTGCATTCACTAGAAGCTCTTTCTGGCCTTCTGCTTCGTTGCATTCACATCTTACACTTCTACTCCATCCTATTCCATCGATCGATTTGTCTCCACTCTCCGAAATCGCGCGCTTTAACCCGATTCTCTCATTGCGTCGCCTGGTACGTAGCCGGCCAAACGCCGTCTTCTTTCCATGCCTCGCCTGGCTCTGCCTCCTGGTCCTTCGATGGTCCATAACGTGTAGTTTTTGTACGTTTGTTTCTCTTCAGAAACCGAATCTTCATGCGTGAAACTTTGTGTGCTATTTCCAGTGATCACAACTGACCATCATTTAGGAAAAAGAGTCGCAAGATTTTCGCGCAAGATTCCTTTAAAAACTTGCAATTGTGGCATTTCTATTTTTATTTTTCGTCATATTGACCACTGTAACCTAAAAAACGTTTTTTTCAAACCCTCCCTAATCACTAAACTCTGCACTTTGTATTCTCCTAATGTGGAGTGCTTATATTCCAGTTCATCTGTCTGTATTGAATACCTCATAATATTCAACATGAACTTTCGCGATCAATGCAAACTTTTCGAAAGTGGCCATTCAATTAGTTCTTATGTTGAAAGTCGTGCTCCTTTGCTTCGATTTGAAGCCACTGGAAAAGGTGCGTCGACCAGATCAGGAGCTTGTAAATGACAAGCAGGAAGTCATATTGAGCTCCCTAGAGAATCTTCATTTTTGGCCCCGTCCGCCATGGGCATCTGACCGACCTATCTTATTACCTAGTCTCTGCACAATTTAGTTGTCTTTGAGTAAACTTCACCGCCACCCCTTGATCACTGCCTACCTTAAGGCTCCCGGCATAGCCCGACTGAAGTTAAAGATCCATGCAGGAACATTTTGTACCTGATCCATGCTACCTAGATCACTTCAGCTTGGTCGCAAAAGCTGCGCGGTTAGGGCGCTAATTACTTATTACGAGCTTAACTATCGACCACCGTTGCAACGTTCTCCCACCCACCTTGATTGATTGTAGAGATCAGCGTGCTCTCGAACGACGTGCTCTCTCGCGTATTTTGTCTAGCTTAATCGCACCCCTTTCTCGCCACGTACAACTTTTGACTACCTTGAGGTTTTACATTCAGAGTTCTCAAAGTTTTCTCTTGCTTTTCTTTCCACCTTCCGGTCATTCTGCAGGAGCTATCACTACGAAGCACTCTTACCATCAGTTTGATCCCGCTGTTCCTTAAGCATTGGTCCAGTTTCGTATTCAGCCTAACTGAAATACAATTTTTGATGAAAGATGTGCCCAGCTCCGAGGAATCCATCCGGCTGCTGTCCCCTATTTCTAGAGGGTTGAGTTCAAATAGGCTTAGAGAGCAGAAAAAATAGTGGAGATAAGCAGCATCTGAGGTTCACAAGGCATACTTAAAATGAAAGCAGGCCAGTTTACAAGAGGCGGAGCGTGGTTTATTAGGCGGTGTTAGCTACAAGACATTACGATTCAAGCTTATCCTGTGTAAAAGTTTAATGGTAGCAAATAGGCCGAATCCTGATACTATTAGGCAAAGTTGAAACAGAATTCGCAACGTGGCCATGAGAGCCGCACGAAGAATTAGATGACTCGCGAATGGCGAGAAGTTTGATGGCTAATTCGCTACATTGGAGGGCCTAGGGATCGGAAGTACGCGATGTGAGTGCAGCATTTGAATCTAAGTCATTCGGTCTCATTCAAGCTTTTCAATACGCTCTGTTGCAGAAGCGCCTCAACACGATCCCACACTACGTACATGAGCTTCCCACATCCTCCCTGATAATCTACCATCGGACCCTTTGAACTGTTATCTCTGATACTTCGTTTTTCAGATCAGCCGATACAACCAAACTCCGTCCACTTTTCCCTTCAAATGGGCATCCATTGAGCTATGGGTGAAGGAGTAGGAAGGAGTGGGGTGAAGGACTGGTGGTAAATTCATTTCGAAAAATGGCAGTATTCTGATTATGTCCCCCCACCTTTCTACTGTGATCAACATCGTCGGAAACGTATCAAAGACAATTCCCATTCCTCACCACTGCAACACGACCCCATTAACCACCTCCGCGATCCCCTCTGATCTCAAACACGACCCTGTCCATCTAAAGGGGTACTCGCTGAGAATTGTCCAAGGTACGGTTAGCCCTGCCCTGGACGTAGAAGCGTGCTGAGGCAACTGGTATCTAATGAATGCTATCAAAGAGCAAATTTTGGATGTTGCACATGAAAGTACGGCGAAAGAAAGGAGAGCTGAATGGCTATGGGAGCGATTTTTCATTAGGCGCACGAAAGACTGCATTGAATCCAATCGAATTATTTATTTACCTGTGGTTTGCAAATTACGCAGATCTTTGATCGACACCTGCATTGTCAATAAAGCATAGAGCCTGTTTGTCACGCCACTTTTGCGTGCTACGCTCCGCCGAGTGTTTCGGGTAGTACCTAGGCTGAAGCATCCTCTCAATACTCTACAACCAGTACTTCTTTTTTCTTAATATGTATGAAGAAAGTTTACGTTTCTGCATGTTTCTGAGAGCGCCGGAAAATATGTGTACCCTTATTTTGGTTTTCAGAATGAGCACTTGCAAATCAAAATGTGGTGGACCCGGCTACGCTAGCCCGAAGGAGGCGATAATGGGCCCAAGAGAGAAGGTTGGATTTTTTCGCTCTTCTTCTTGTGATGACCAACCGATTTTGTTCTGTTTTCTGTTACCTGTCATGGAAGGAATCAGAAGATGGATTTTTCGGTATGCGACTGAATTTGTGAAGTAGATACATGCTGCGGAACCAAAGAGCTTGAAAATCATTACTAGCTCATGTTGCTATTCGTGCCTGATGTTTGAACTCATGTGTTTGAGAATACTGTGGTATTTCACTTCAGGTACTGTTCACAGCTTGTGCCCATACGAAGGGAACGACGGAAGATATGTTGGTTGCCATAGATGTCGACCCAAACAGTGCCACCTTTTGTGAGGTGAGGAAGGTGTTCGTGAATACTAAATGGCCGAGTCTATAGTCATAGCCTAAAGGGTCAAAAATCATATTATACTGTAGGCGCCTTCAGGCAGTTTATGTTTCCTACATCCACGACTGCCTAATACTCGTAATGGAGAGAAAGTCATGAAGTGAAAAGGATCTTGATCAGTTTAAATTCCTTTGGTATACACTATGTTTTCGTCGCTCGTTCCAAGTAGTGTCTAATTGTTTAATTGTTTGAAAGCACGCTTTTGTCCGTGCCATGACCGTAACTTACTATTTGATGGTGATTGGGGTGTTGTCATCCTAAAAACTTAGTCCATCGCTAACCAGATGATCTAAGGGGGGGGGGGTTAAAAAACTCCTAAGCTATTCTAGTCTACAGTGTGGGCAAAGTTATGGTAAACGAGAGTGCGGGCGGCCGAACCCACTCTTCCCAAATCTCTTCACATTTCTCCTTCTTTTCGGGCATAACGAGAAGGAAAATTACTTCTTCTTTTTGAAAATAAATGTCCAACTGTTCTCGAAATAAGTGAAGCAACCATATCACGGTAATATGGCCCAATTCCCGTCACCAACATTTGGACTCTTTCTCGCTTGCACCTCCGAGACGTTAACTATAACAGTGGAGCTATGAGATTGTGAGCAACGGTCAAACGCTTCAGGATGCTAGGAACCTTCTAGGGCGAGAAAGGAGATTCGCAGGTTGAACTTACCACCAAGACAAATAACAAATGAGAGGGTGAAAGACGAATAACAAAGAATAAAGCGGAAGAAAAGGCAAGAAAAAATAGAAGAAAGAGATATAAAGAGATAACACGAACGAGAGAAAGAAGTAGAAATAGAGAAAAAAGAAGAAGAAAATGAATAATAAAGCAAAAAGAAAGAAAGCTAATATGTTATAGATGAGGAAGGAAAAAAGAAGAAATGATAGCAAGAGAATAAGGGTAATAATGACCGTCCTTCCTCCTTGCGACTTTCATAGCGCCCGACAGGTGCGGATTCAAGTCCCGCTTGAGGCAAAAATTTGTTAATAACCCAGTATACTTGTGAAACACTGACTTGTACACCGATTGACTCCTCCAACTCATTGTGTAGGCCAAACCGCATTCAAATTGCCATCACTGTCCCAAATGACAGTGGAATGCTAGGCGCTCCAATAAGGAATTTGACCAATGCTGAGTGCTCGGTGCTTCATTCTTTGATAGAAGTCTTCCAAATCAATCATTCAGGTGCTCTCCCGAGTTGTGTTTCCTTATAAGGGTGATGAAGTGCACCATTCCGGCTGGAACGCCTGCTCTTCATGTCACGATAATCCTTCTGCCAAAAGGTATGTGTGAAGGCGATATCACCTTCATAATAGCTTCATGTTGAATTATAGGAGTCATCTGGTGCTACCTTGCCTGAATTCGGATCGCATCTACGTCGTGAATGTCACTGACGCAAACAATATTCCGCTTAGAAAAGGTTAGTTGATCGACAGCAGATATGAAAGCGAGTTCTTGCAATCTTATATTCAATCACCACACACAACTATCCTTTTGGCCTTCACGTTTGTCTTCCCATCAATCGCCCAAAGCTTAACAAAATGAGCTGAGAACCATCACCTGTCTTGAACGCCACAAAAAGAGTTGAAAATTCGAAGAAAAAAATTAACACAAGGCAGTAAAAATCCGGTGAAAACCCCAGCGAAAATTCGGTGAAGTGCCCAGCTTTGGACTGATTCATTATCAGTATAATGTTAATACTCTATCAATGTAAACGAAGATGGATGGTGCCATAGAAAACGCCGCTGGACAAGAGATTATGTCGGGCATATACCGAAACTACAGGTGCGACAAAATTACTTGCTCAAATTTCCGCCCTTGTAAAAATAGTAAAACAGTAAATCGAGGGCTCGTTTTTCTAACAGTAGTTTACGAATGAAATGCCATTACCGAACCGGCTTCACATCTCAAAGTGTCTCTCTTCGGACCGAGCTTAGCCTTTAGTTGTGAGGAGAGGTCGTCCACTGTGGCGCGTAGGTGCTCCAAACAAATTTCTTCCTAAACGTAGAGCAGGTTCGTTATCTGGGCTGCGGCTGGGTGGTGTTGTTACGAGCAGGCCTTGCTCTCTGAAAGCTCAACACGAAATATTCCACTCTGTTGAAGTAAGTACTTTTGATTGACCTTAATTGAGCGCTGGTGAGACCAGGGCTGCTGTGCTTATTGCTTAATAATGCATTTGCTGTGGTTATATCTTGTTACCATATTTATGCCCCACCCTGTACATCATGTACCTGACCGAAGGTCCTACGCAATCAAGAGCTTCATGGATTTGACAGGAAACAGCGCAGCGTCTGAAGCCTTTAGGCATATGGTTAACTGAACCGCTGCTTATTTTGATCATTTAGAATTGATGCTTCTTTTCCTGAGCTATCTAAGCGATAATCCCTGCAGCGATAGTCCCACCTGGAGCGAAATTTTGTTTAGAATTCGGTATTCTTGTGAAACATCATGTTATAGTTTCCTTTCAACAATCAATAAGAGGTCCCAGAATCACTAATACTGCGATGATTTCAGTGCCATTTTACTGTTTCTCATTAACTACTGTCCTTTTCATCACCTATTGAAAGCTCAATCCGTCATCAGCAGATCTAGGCAATTCAAGTACCAAAAAAGTTATTCTAGTCTGTTCTCTCTTCACCCTAGGGATGGCCTCCTTATGGTTAGCGGGATGGGCGCAGGAGGTGGTAACAACACCAATTAATGAATTAGACCTCATCTTCTAAAGGTAATACGATAAATTGTTGGACCTTGAAAAGGGAAATGTGCCCACTGTAGAGGGAGGCTCGGGTCCCAAAGGAATGGGCCGTG